GCTTGGCAGGGCCAGCATGGGGCTCCTCGTGGGGCGGTGGCAGTGGGTGACCTGTGAACCAGTAGTTTTGCAGGCGTTTGCATTTTAGCAATTGCGAGGCAGAGCTCTCATGTTTCTCACATTTGGGGGTATTTGTGAAATTTCACAGCAAGGAAAGGCTGAAATTACATGCACCTAACAATGCAGGTAGCACGCAGGTGCCAACAGACGGAAACGCTGGGAGCAGGGGATTCGTTAGCAACTGTTTTCCTAAGGTCATCAAAATTCTACCAGGAGAATGCCTGGGAAAACATGAAGGCAAGGCCAGGAGATGAGCTGGGGCCCCAGCTGACCGCTAGGAAGGGTGCATGGGTTAGGCTGTGGCACGGACAGCCCCAAGTCCCTGTGTCCTGATCTGACTGCATCCCCAGTAAGGGCCCGGGGTTTCGCCTCCCTCAGTCAGGTAGGGACCAGGGAAGGTGGCCTCCAGGCTGGACGCAGAGTAAGGGCACCAGGGACTCCCAGCCTGGCTGCAGTGGGACCTGGCAGGATGGAGCCCCACGTTCACACCTGGCCAAGAAGACCTCGGGGTCCTCCTTCCTGTGTCCCCTGGGGGACTATCTCGAAGCCTCCTCCAGCCCCATGAAGACTGAGAGTGATGCAAAGGAGGCCTGGAGAGGCCTCGCGTCAAGTGGGAGGGCTCTGGGCTAAAACAAGGGGCCCCTGGGCCCACACTCGCAGCACAGACCGGGGAGCAGAGGGAGCATGGTCCTGCAGTCCCGGCAGCCATGCTGAGGAGCTGGCCCTGAGCGCGCTCATTCCTTGGCAAGACTGGAGGGCGCGCCCCACTTGCTGTTCTCACGGCCCTCGGAGACCCCAAGGCTTTCCCAGCCCCTTCTCCCCACAGAGAGTCAGGGGCCCCAGGATTATTGTAGGTCTCAAGCCAGCACAGAGTCTTCGGGTCCAGGCTGGTGCTTTTAGGGGGACAGGAGAACTCTCATATATGCGGTCAACTTTGAAAACTTTAAGTTCATTCAGGTTTAGGTGTCACTCACGCCTGGCGCTCCTTTCCCCACAGTGCTTGTTTCTGCCTTTCTTCACTGTTTCAGCCTCGGTCCTTCAAGCCCGCCTCCCCTGCCGCCCCATAATGCAGGCATCTGATGTGCCAGGCTGCGGCGGGCAAGCGTCCCCCAACTGGAGAACAACTGGAGAGTCTTTGTCATTTTATGTTTCACTGCTGGGGTTGAGGCGCTGGCACTCTTCACACTCCAGCCTCCCTGGACTTTCTCTGTTTCTTTTCATCCGATCTCGCCACCAGCCCTTCTCTCTGAGCTCAGAGGCCAGAACAGGCAGAGCAGCAAACAGCATGTGGTGGGTATTTCTGACAAACACCTGGTCCCAGGGATACAAGGCTCTAGGTTCCAGGCCCGCTTTCCTAACATCGCCAGCAGGCGGGTGCCCCCGTCCCCTTGCTGCTTGTATCAGGCAGGGTTCTCCAGATAAAAGGTCTGCTCTGGAGGGGCTGGGGAGGCAGCCAGGCCCATGGAAGGCGGGTCTCTCTGCTCTACCTTCTACTAGGCCTTCTGAGGGGCCGCACAGGCCCCCTACACTGGGGAGGGGTCTGCTTCACTCAGCCCACCTTTCAAAGCGAAGCTCATCCAGAAACACCCCCAGACCCCCAGGATAACCTCTGAGCAAAGCTCTGGGCCCTGCGTCTCAGTCAGGCTGAGGCACAACATTCAGAGCACACGACTTCACTGGGTTGATCCTTCCAGCCGCTGGGAACACGGTTTTGTTGTTCTCTCCTGGCCCGAGGCCACAGGTACCGGGCTTCCCCGCGTAGGTCAGGGTAAGCTGGACTGTGTCGAGGTGACAATGACCCTGATTCCAGTGCCAGCCAAGAAGGCTCTGTTCCTGCCACCACTAGATGTGGGTGGGCGGCCGTGGGTGGTAGGTCCCTCTCACCCAGGGGCCCAGGGACCCAGGAGCCCTGGGGCCGGGGTGAGGGCCCACTGTGGGCTTCCTGAGGGCCACAGGGATATGGGGAGTCCTTGTGGTGCTCGCGAGTGACCCACACCTACACCCGTGTCCCGGGTGCTGTGGGACTTGGAAAGGTGGGGGCAGGGGGTGGCACGTGGGCAGAGGGCTTGCAGAGGAGACAGGAGGCGCCTCTAGCAGCTCCAGGCCTGTGCACTGCCACGAGCGTGGGAGGCAAACAGAGCCTCCCCAAAACTGGAACTCACTCCGGCTGCCGCGTCCCTGCAGTCCCCGGGCAGCTGGGCCCTGAGCCCTGGCTTCAGGGCCGCTCTGGCTGTGTGGCAACTGCGACGTGAAAAGGTACTTCTTGGGGACATCCCTGGTGGTCCAGTGGTGAAGAGTCCGCCTTCATATGCAGGGGAGGCAGGTTCAAGCCTTGCTTGGGGATTTAGGACCCCACATGCCTCAGGGGCAGCTAAACCCACTCCAGGTAACTACCGAGTGGGCCTGCCCCAAGTAAGACCCCATGCAGGGAAATGAATAAATAACTATTAAAAAGAAAGAAAGGAAAGGCACTTCTTGCCTGTAGCAGCCTGAGGGGCTGCACTTCACACCTCCAGGAGAGGGTAGTTCCTAAAGGACACTGTGTCAGAGTGCTGGTGGCCAAGGCTGCTGTTACGTGCTTCTGACTTCTCTGTGAGGAAAAGCTCTATTTCTTGGCTGCTCTGTTTTGGCCAGTAAGAGGCCTTGTAGAGACTTGCTTTTCCTTAGAATACTAATTCATGAAATTTCAGAGGCTGGGTTTCACAAGAGGAGGAGCTATCTTTATACACCTTAGACGTATTCAGAAATCTGGTTTTATACTGTGTTAATCTGATAACCAGGATGGTGTGATCACTCACCTTGAGCCAGACATCCTGGAATGCAAAGTCAAGTGGGCCTTAGGAGGCATCATTATGGACAAAGCTAGTGGAGGTGATGGAATTCCAGTTGAGCTATTTCAAATCCTCAAAGATGATGCTGTGAAAGTGCTGCACTCAGTATGCCAGCAAATTTGGAACACTCAGCAGTGGCCACAGGACTGGAAAAGGTCAGTTTTCATTTCAGTCCCAAAGAAAGGCAATGCCAAAGAATGTTCAAACTACTGCACAATTGCACTCATCTCACACGCTAGCAAAGTAATGCTCAGAATTCTCCAAGCCAGGCTGCAACAGTACAAAAACCAAGAACTTCAGATGTTCAAGCTGGATTTAGAAAAGGCAGAGGAACCAGAGATCAAATTGCCAACATCCAATGGATCATAGAAAAAACAAGAGATTTCCACAAAAGCATCTTCTTCTGCTTTATTGACTACGCCAAAGCCTTTGACTGTGTGGATCACAATAAACCTGTGGGAAATTCTTCAAGAGATGGGAATACCAGACCACCTGACCTGCCTCCTGAGAAATCTGTATGCAGGTCAAGAAGCAACAGTTAAAACTGGACATGGAACAATGGACTGGTTCCAAATTGGGAAAGGAGTATGTCAAGGCTGCATATTGTCACCCTGCTTATTTAACTTATATGCAGAGTACATCATGCAAAATGGCGGGCTGGATGAAGCACAAACTGGAATCAAGATTGCCAGGAGAAATAGCAATAAGCTCAGATATGCAGATGATATCACCCTTATGGCAGAAAGCGAAGAAGAGCTAAAGAGCCTCTTGAATAAAGTGGAAGAGGAGAGTGAAGAAAGTTGGCTTAAAGCTCAACGCTCAGAAAACTAAGATCATAATATCTGGTCCCATCACTTCATGACAAATAGATGGAGAAACAATGGAAACAGTGACAGACTATTTTTTTTGGCTCCAAAATCACTGCAGATGGTGACTGCAGCCATGAAACTAAAAGATGCTTGCTCCTTGGAAGAAAAGTTATGATCAACCTAGACAGCATATTAAAAAGCAGAGACATTACTTTACCAGCAAAGGTCCGTTTGGTCAAAGCTATGGTTTTTCCAGTAGTCATGTATGGATGTGAGAGTTGGACTATAAAGAAAGCTGAGCACTGAAGAACTAATGCTTTTGAAGTATAGAGTTGGAGAGGACTCTTGAGAGTCCCTTGGACTGCTAGGAGATCCAACCAGTCCATCCTAAAGGAAATCAGTCCTGAATATTCATTGGAATGACTGATGCTGAAGCTGAAGCTCCAATACTTTGGCCACCTGATGGGAAGAACTGACTCATTTGAAAAGACTCTGATATTGGGAAAGATTGAGGGCAGGAGGAAAAGGGGACAACAGAAGATGAGATGGTTGGATGGCATCACCGACTCGATGGACCTGAGTTTGAGTAAGCTCCGGGAGTTGGTGATGGACAGGGAGGCCTGGCATGCTGCAGTCCATGGGGTCACAAAGAGTCAGACATGACTGAGCGACTGAACTGGACGGAACTGAATCCAACCCTTGGGGGACCACGGGAGGCTCCTTTGGGTCAGGCCACACGGGCTGCTATGTGCTGACTTGCAACCAGGAAGGACCCAAACCCCGCCTGGAGCGGGGACTCAGGACTGGGGAGCCAGTGCTCCTCAGAGGGGAGGCCTGTGCGGCTGGGGGCTGGCGGTGGGGGTGGGGCTCCTCTGGGTCTGGGGGTGAGGCTGAGTGGGGCCTGGCAGGGGCCCCAAGTGGGGACAGTGGGCGCTGCAGCAGGCTTGGGCCTGAGACCCCCTGGCTGGGGAAGGTCTTGGGACCACATCCTAAATAATGTCCTGACTTGTGTGCCTGGGGCAGAAAGCCAGCTCTTGGATGGTGACCATCCCACCCTGCCTGTGTGTAACTTTCCGTGATTTGTCCACCTTCCCAGTGCCTAGCCAATTCATGCATTTACAAAACAACAGGAAATTGAAGCTTCTGAGAAAGCAGAACTGACTTGAGGTGAAGTTTGGGCCCCATGAAGGACCACCCTCCAGCATCCGGTTCACTCCAAAACTGGTCAGAGCTCAGCCTCGTGACTCCAGCTCTTCGTCCTCCTCACTGGTGTCCACACCTGCAGCCTCCACCCTAAGACATGTTCTCAGGGGAGCAGGAGGCAGCTGTGATGGGGGAACCCCCAGGCTCAGCTCCGGTGAAGAATGCAGTGATTGACATCCAGATGGAGAGCCCCAGACGTGACCACATCGTCTGGTCCCTGTTCAACACGCTGTTCATGAACATCTGCTGCCTGGGCTTCGTGGCATTCGCCTACTCCGTGAAGGTGGGTGGGCACCTGGGGGCATCTCCAAGAAAGGGTGTGTGGGCCTGGAGAGGGCCCTGCCCAGACGGCACGTGGGTTGGGGAGCTCCTGTATGTATTGTCCTGTGTGTGTGTTGTGTGTGTACGTATACCAATGTGCAGGTCCTGATGAGGCTGCAGGAGGTTCATGGGAGTGACCAGTGTCAACCTTTTATCCCCTGGGGGGATAAGGGGCCAGTGAAGGGGCCTGAGAGGAAGGGAGGGTGAGCCCTGGGGCTCCTGGAGAGGCTGACATTCTGCAGGGACGCAGATGGAAGCCCCGGGAGGGGAGGGGGGCCCATGGGCACTGGCCTGTTCAGACTCCGGGGAACGGGCAGGGGAGACTCACTGCTGGGGTGAACGGGCACTGGGGGGTCAGCAGGAGAGGGCCTGAGTCACAGGCCTGGCGGTCACCTGGACCCTCACCACCTCTCCCCCTCCAGTCTAGGGACCGGAAGATGGTCGGCGACATCACTGGGGCCCAGAGCTATGCCTTCACCGCCAAGTGCCTGAACATCTGCTCCTTGTTCCTGAGCCTCTTTCTGATCATCATATTTATCATTGTTTTTGCCACTAGATCATGGCCGAGTTTCAGGCTACATTTTTCTACATTTTAGGATTTAACACAGCAAAGAGGCTGGCGGTAGCTGCTCATGGCCAACACCAAGTCCTGAATGGTCCACAGCAGGCTCCACAGCATGGTGGCCCTGCCCCCTGACCCCCACCCCCACCCCCCACTGCCCCTTCCTGCGCAGTTTACAGAGACCCAGCTGAAGGCCAGTGAATTCAATAAAGTGCACTGACACTCCCCAGCCTGCCTCTGCGGCTCAGCACCCTCCCCCACCCCGCTGTGCTGCTCTGGTTTTGCTGGTTTCTGGCTTCCAGATGGGAGGAACAGCTGGAGCAGGGTCCCAGGATAGGGGTCCCTCCTTTCCCAAGGCCTGACCCTGATCCAAGGGCACTCTGTGTCTGGAACACCCTTGACCCTCAGGATCAGATAGTCGGTTGGCAGGGAGCGCTGGGCTAGGGTGACTGCGGCAGCCCAGGCTCTCCAGGGAGGGACTGCTTTTTGTGTCTGTGGGCCCTGTCTCCCTTCCAGCTGCCAGGAAGGTCCAGCCTGCTGCTGCCTTCTCCAGCCACCAGGCCCTGTCCCAGCTCCTCTGGAGGGTGCTGGGGGAGCAGTGGCCTGAGGGCAGCTAGAGTGAGGAGCAGCCACCTCGGCACCACACACTCTGGCCCTGGCTAAACCCTGGAAAGGTCAGCCCCTGACAAGGGAGGCAGCCCCTCCCCATCCTCTCAGGGCCCTGGAGGTGCGGGCACTGGGCAGCCCAGGGCAGACATGCTCACAACGAGCTGTGCTGTGGTGGTGGAAGCCCCCCCGCCATTGATGTCCATCCCCCCTGTGATCCCCGATCATCACTCTCACTTCACCCTACATCCCCCACTCCTCAGAAGTGGCTGGGGGTAGAGGTCCCTGGGCAGGTCGTGGGGGCCCCAGGGGGGTGAGCAGAAGGGGGCAGCTCCAGGGAGGGTGTGTCCTGGAGGCGGGGCTGGACCACGTGCTTCTCTGGGTCTGGGAAGGACTCTGGAGGCAGGAAGCGGCTGGAGGCCAGTCCGGACCCCCATCATGGAGGGGGACTCATGCATGGCCCTGCAGAGGGCAGGTTGTCAGAGCTCAGGAAGTACAGGCTCCCAGTCACGTGGAACTCTTCGTCCCGCTCGGCCACGGCCCCTCCCGTTGGGCTGCACGTTCCCACATTTCCTGGAGCCCCTTGGGTGACTGGGCATCTGCACTGTGTCCTGCCTTCTACCCTGACCCCCAGGACAGAGTGCATAACCTGGAAAACCCACCAAATGCCTGAGCCAGGGCGGAGGCTGGGGCAGCCGCCTGCACTGCCCCAGGACTGTGCTGGGGATGTGGGCCAGTGAGCAGACCAGTGATGGGGTGGAAGAGCTGTGACCTCCCCAGGACCCACAGCAGAGAGTTCTGGAGACATTCACAGATGTGTCCTTCAGGGCACAATAGAGGACAGATAGCTGGCACCCACCAGCCCTGGAGGCAGGATAGCAGACGAGGACTGGGGGCAAAATCTCACCACCTCATGACCCCATGGCCTCTGTTGTGAACTGGTCTTCAGACCTGATCCCATGGTTGACTGAGCGCCGGGCCCTGGGCAGGGGAGCTTGCGGGCACATCCCCCAGGCTGTCCTGTGGTGGGGGGAGGGTGGGGAATAGGTGGGTCCTGGGTAACAGAGTCCAGGACTTGGGATTCCCAATATCTCAGGAAGTGGGCTTGTGGCCCAGGTCACTATCTCAAAGCTGAACATCACCAGGTGCCCTTTCCCAAGGGGCATGTGGGCCAAGGAATCAGGGGATCTGGGCCCTAGTCACTCTCGGAGTGGGGCTGGCCCCTGTGGGCACCCAGCCCTGGGAGGACAGGAGCGGGAGCAGGTGGTGCTCCCAGTCCTCTTGTGTGCTCAGTGGCTCCTGGGTAAGAGCCTCGGACACGGGGTGGCTGCAGGGGGACTCTGGAGCGGCTTCCCAGCGCCGACCCCTGCAGGGAGGAGACCCAAACCAACATCCCATCCTGGGAGAGGAGCAGACGTTGACCACCTCAGGGCCTGGGGGTGCAGGGGTGCCACCCCCATGACACTTCCATTTTGCTCAGTCTGCCCAAGAACCCAGATGGACCTGGAAGAGACTCTAGACGCAGTGGACCAACCCTGGGAGTCCAGGTGCAGCTGCTATGGCAGACTGTCAGCCTGGCCCGGGGCACCCGGAGGCTGGCCTGGGAGCCTTGACCCAACGGGACCCAACTAGTGGGATGGCCTTGCTCCTAACAGGATGGTCCAGGCCTGGCCATCACCGCCCACAGCCTCACGCACAGGTGAGGACAGAGACAGGAGAGCACGCGGCCCTGTGGTCTGAAGAGAGTGGAGGCCTGGCCACAGAGCCGACCCGCCCTGTCCCTGAGCAGAGGGCACAGCCCCATGCCCAGAGCCATCCTGCCGGCACGCCCGCTCCCCTGGAGCCACCCCAGGTCCCATGAGAAATGAGGGGGGCGGGGGAGGCAGGAAGGCCGGGCTGCACAGACACGCAGGCCCAGGGCTCCCAGGGGCTGCCAGATGCCCGGGAGGCATCCTGCCTCCGCACAGCCCGCCGGTCCCACTCCTCCAGCCCGTGGGGGACCGCAGGAGGCTCCTTCGGGGCAGGCCACACGGGCTGCTGGGTGCTGCCCTGCACCTGGGAAGGACTCAAACCCTGCCTGGAGTGGGGACTCAGGACTAGGGGGCCAGTGCCCCTCAGAGGGGAGGCCTGTGCCGCTGGGGGGCTGGCAGTGGGGGCGGGTCTCCTCTGGGCCTGGGGGTGAGGCTGAGTGGGGCCTGGCAGGGGCCCCAAGTGGGGACAGTGGGCGCTGCAGCAGGCTTGGGCCTGAGACCCCCAGGCTGGGGAAGAGTCCCAGAGCCTAAACACAGCGCAATATGGGAAGTCAGTTGGCTGGGGCCTGGCGTGAAGCCCCCTCCACCAGCTCACTTCCTCTGGCCTTGGTGTAATTTGATCCTCAGCGGTCCCTCCCACCTCCCAGGACTGGCCCCAGCAAAACATTCAGGAAACGAAACTACTGAGCAGTCCCGGCCCCGGCCCCTGGTGCTCCTGCCTGTATCCAGACCACATCTGCGCCAGCTCTGCCTCCGGAAACACACATCTCAATCCTGCTCATCTGCATCAGCACTAGGTTCCCTCTAAGCCAGCGATGAGCAAGGAGGAGCACGAGGTGGCCGTGCTGGGGGCGCCCCAGGGCCAGGCGCCCGCGACGACCACGGTGATCAGCATCCCCAGGGAGACCTCTGTTCCCGACCACATCGTGTGGTCCCTGTTCAACACCGTCTTCATGAACTGGTGCTGCCTGGGCTTCGTGGCATTCGCCTACTCTGTGAAGGTGGGTGGGCACCTGGGGGCGTCTCCAAGGAAGTGTCTGGGAGCCTGGAGGGGGCCCTGCCCAGATGGCGCGCGCACTGGGGCGCCCCCGTGTGTAAGGGTCTGTGTGCGTGTTCTTGGTGTGTGTGTGTTGTGTGTGTGTGAGTGTGGCTTGGGGGATCATTCCCAGTGAGACTCATGGTGAGGCTGCCTGGGTGCTCATGGGGTGGAGGTGGGAGTCTGTGTCTCTCGCTCCCCAAGACGGCCTGCTACCCAGCCGGCACATCCTTCATACTCAGCTTCAGCACTCGAGTCTGGTCCAGAAACGAGAGAGGTGCTGAAAGGACACTGACCCCTGGGGGGTGAGTGGCTGGTGAAGGGGCCTGAGAGGAAGGGAGGGTGAGCCCTGGGGCTCCTGGAGAGGCTGACTCTGTGTGAGGACGCAGACAAAGGTGCCAAGAGGGGAGGATCTCACCGGCCACTGTCCTGCTCAGGCTCCAGGGAACGGGAGTGTGAGGTCCCATCGGGGTGACTGGGACCAACAGGGGAGGGCCTGAGTCACAAGCCCAGCGCTCACCTGGACCCTCACCACCTCTCCCCCTGCAGTCTAGGGACCGGAAGATGGTCGGCGACGTCACTGGGGCCCAGAGCTACGCCTCCACCGCCAAGTGCCTGAACATCTGGGCCCTGGTCCTGGGCATCTTTCTGACCATTGGATCAATCGTTCTTCTCGTTTTTGCCTACCTGGCAGCCTACCAGATGAGTTTAGAGATGATGAAAAATAGAGGCTACTAGCCGCTGTCCATGGAGGCAGTCCAGGGCCTCGACCTTCCTTGGATGGTTTTGCACCTGAGGCATGGGCCCAACCCTCCTCCAACGCAAATGCAGCAGTTTATAGACCCAGATTGTCAACCACTGAATCAATAAAGTGCCCTTGTCTGTGAAGTTGCTGTGATGTCTCCTGCGGAGGGAGCTGTGACCCCGGCGGCCCCTGGGGAGCCCAGAGCAGTCAGCTGCAGGCTGACGGAGAGGGCCAGAGCAGAGCTGGTGACCCCACCCCGGTC